CCGATTTCCCATCCAGGTGAGCTCTGTTCGCATGCCTGGCACTTGGGGTCCCAGTTGTGGCAGCTCCTTCCCTAGATTGTAAGCGGCTGGATTTATTCCAATGTCACCTTCTCAGAGATGCCTTCCCTGAGCCCCTCACACAATCCAGAATGGTCTCACTTGCTTTAAAAAACGATGAACTTGTTTTAGGGTTTCAAGCCACTTTTTTAAACCCTCACCCGAGGGTATGTTTATTGATTTGAGAGAGAGAGGAACAAGGATGCGAGAGAAACATTGACCAGCTGCGGCCGGATCCGCCCGACGGGGATTGAACCAGAAACCTGGGTGTGTGCCCTGACGGGGAATCAACCCGCAGCCTCCTGTACAGGACGACACCCCCACCAGCCGAGCCACCGGACAGGGCTCGCTGGTTTTTGTCTGTTACACGGCCCCCGTTCCTGGAATACTGCTCAATAGTTGTTTGAGTGAATGAATAAAACCCGAAAGGTCACTGGCTCACGTGCCCGCCCCCCGCCCGGCCATACACTGCATGTTGGCTGTGTGCAGTGTGCCCCTGTCAGCAGTACCTGCTTCAGCTGCTGAGTAATGCCCCGTGGTATGCACACACCCACAGAGTTAGCCACTCTCCTCTGGATGGGCAATTCAGTTATTTGCAGTTTTAAAAATAAATGCCTAGAAGTGGAATCGGTGGGTCAAGGGGATGAATGTTTAAAGTGTGGGTAGAGCCCTAGCTGGTTTGGCTCAGTGGATAGAGTGTCAGCTTGTAGACTGAAGGGTCCCAGGTTCAATTCCAGTCAAGGGCACATGCCCGGGTTGTGGGCTTGATCCCCAGTAGGGGGCGTGCAGGAGGCAGCCGGGATCAATGATTCTCTCATTAATGTTTCTCTCTCTCTCTCACCCTCTCCCTCTCCCTCTCCTTCTCCCTCTCCCTTCCTCTCTGAAATCAATAAACATATATTTTAAAATAATAATAAAGTCTGGGTAGGCACTGCCAGGCTGCCTTTTGGAAACCCTGAGCCTATCTGCACCGTTTCCCTTACACCCTCATCGGTGCTGGGCATTAGCAATCTTTAACAGATCTTTACCTGCTACTGTTTTCAGTTATATTTTTTATGTAGCAGGTTGAGCAGCTTTTCATGTTCCTCGACCATTGCTGGTATGAAGGTCTGACCCCCACTGGACGAAGGGCTCCATGTCCCAGGCTGGGCTCCCGGGACCAGCCTCCCCAGGTTCATCCCCGCCCAAGGCCCCTGCACCTCCTCACCTCTGGCCACCTGTCTCCTGCTTCAGTGGTACCCATTGGTGAAAGCTGTGGCAATCAAGGGGCCCTGGGAAGACAAGAGTTGACTCCTAGGTTCGGGGGGAGCAGAGAAAGCCCAGGCCTCTTCTCCCGCAGGACACGGAGGTGCGGCTCAGCCCCTTCCGGCCCTGCCCGTGTTCCTCCCGCTGCAGACCCACTGAAAGGTCCCCCAGGCGGCCGGGACTGGTGTAGCCACGTAAGCAGCGCCCTTGTTAAAATGAGCCCACCCTCCCTGTGCAGGAATCAGCCTCCGTTGGGGCAGAGATGGTGAGTCTTATTGGCACAATATCCCCAGTGCCCGGCACACAGCGGCCATCGTTTAACGCCCACGGAATGAACGAGGACTCCTGTCCTCCCTCTTGGCGACACTGTCATTCACTGGCCCTCGCCTCCCTCTGCCCCGCAGACAGGCAAGGCCTTTCCCTCCTCCACCTTTGGGGGTCCTCCAGGACCAGCCACTCACCCCAAGACTGTGGCCGAAGCCGGTGCTGGGGGCGGGGCTGGCAGCACTGATGTAACTGCTGACCCCCGAGTCCTGGTTGGCTGCCCCATAGAGCTCAGCCATGGGGCCGGGGCTGGTGGTCCCCAGGAAGCCCCCTGTGCGGCTGGGGGTGGAACCTGGAGGGGGAGCCATCGTCCAGGGGTGAGAGCCTGGCAACCCAGAAAGAAGACAGTGATAGCCCTGGAGCCTTCACACCGGTCGAACCCACCCTGACCGTGACCCCTCCCTCTGCCTCATCCCATCAGGGCCTGGGGGTCCACCTCCTGGAGGTCCCCCAAGTCCATCCACCCCACCAGCCCTAGCGCAGGCCCCATCATCTGTCGGACCACTCAGCGGCCTCCTCACTGATCTCTAGGCCTCCTTCCTGAGCCCCTTCACGCCTTTCCCTGCGGAGCCTGTGCGTTTTCTAAAGCCACGTCCTTCCACTGCTTAATCGCTCAGTGCCTTCCCAGGACCTGGCTCCGCCTCCCTCTTCCTCCCACACCCATTCCTGCACTCCGCACACAAAGCCTTTGCACATGCTGTTCCCCCTGCCGGGAACTCTGTTCCTCCTCTTTGCCTTCAAATTGAAAGCGAAGTCCTTCCTCCCAGATGCCTTCCTGAGGCCTGGGAGCGCCTCTGTACCCGCCTCCCCCAGAGGAGCAGTATCCCCCTTCAGAATCACCGCCTTCTTAATGCCTGACGCCCCCCAGCCTTCAGGCTCTGAGGACAGAGAGCGGCCGGCCTTCCTCCTGGCTGGCTCGCCAGGTGCTCAGCTAACCCTTGATGAATAAATAGTAAACCCCTCTAAAAAGGGGTGGTGGTGGCTGCCTCCCCCACTCTAGACTTCTCTGCCCCCTGCACCCCCTCCCTTGCTTCCTGCACCCCAGAAGGCCTTACCTGTTCCTCGAACCACAGCTGCCGCCGCTGCCGCCGCTGCCATTGGTCCGTAAGCAGTGAGAGGAATGGCTGAAAGGAAAGGGGCGGGCACTTCAGAGTGGCAGGTGAGGGGACAGGCCTCACCCCACCGCAGGGGGCAGTGCAGCCCCAGGGTCAAGGCAGAAAGGGCTCCCTGAGGCCGCACCCGGGCCCTGACCAGGCCCTGACCGGCGGAATGGATGCACACAGGTGGGAGAGAGGATGGCGGCCCAGCCCTTGGCTCAGCCTCTGCTCCCCCGGGACTCAAGGGACACACGGGAACCACCCCACACTCATGGGGGAGGGAGCCCCAGGGTCAAGGCAGAAAGGGCTCCCTGAGGCCGTACCCGTGCCCTGACCGGGCCCTGACTGGCTGAATGGATGGACACAGGTGGGAGAGAGGATGGTGGCCCAGCCCTTGGCTCAGCCTCTGCTCCCCCTGGACTCAAGGGACAAACGGGAACCACCCCACACTCATGGGGGGGGGGGAGGCACCTCAGCCTGAGCTGCTCCGAGCGTGGCCCACAGCTGCCCCTGCTCCAGAGTGTCCTTAGCCCAAAAGGAGCCCCCAGCCCAAAGGAAATGGGAGGTTTTGTCCCTCTTCCCAACCCAGCCGGCTGGAGCCAGTGACTGGCTGACACGGGCCTTTGCCTCAAGGTGCAGGTGACCGAGGTGCAGGCCCAGAGCTCCCTGCGTGACCGGCTGAGCCCCAGTGCAGGGGAGGCCACACTTCTGCTCTGCTCCTTCTGCTGCCGGGCCTGCTCCCTCCCCCCTCTCCTGAGAGCATGTCCTCCATAAACTGTGCATCCAATGTCCTGCCTCAGGGCCCCCCTCGCCACAGCCAGCCAGAAGCAAGCTCCGCCTCCCCCAAAGCCTCTCAGCCCCTCCTTGGACCCCCTCCTCAGACACAGGGATCTTGCGATTCCCTTTGCTTGCTTTCTACCTCCACCTGCACCTCCACAGTGCCTAGCACCCTGCCTGGTACACAGCAGGTGTTTAATAATGTCCACTGAAGGAGAAGGGACCACAGCTTAAAGAACAGGTTGGCTGGAGCCTGGAGTTCCCTGGGGCTGGGGTGAGCGCCCCCTGCTGCTTGGCTTTGTCACTGCAGCCCCAGAGAGGCTGCAGCTCTGCCCAGAGCCAGGTCTGCAGAGTTGGCATTTGCCCTCAGGAACATCGGTCTCCCATCCTAAGACGCGCCCCTTGGGGCTGTTTGAGTCTAACAAACAGCCTAACCCTGAACTAGAACTGGGCCTGGGGCTAGGGATCCCTGAAAAGGCCCCTGAAATTCCTGGTGTGGCCAGTGGGCTGGGAATTGGAGTCTGGGACAGAGCAGCTCCCACGTGTAGAGGAGGCTTGCTGAAGAGCTTCACATACTAGTAGTCGGCTTCTTCTCACTCAGCTGTCACCTCCTCCGAGAAGCCTTCCCTGACCACTCTCACTACCGCCGCACCACATCTCCCTCCGTTTTGTTCTCCTGGGATGTCTCACCCTCTGAAAGTATCTTATTTACTTGTT